AATTACCAAATCAATTGATTGAAACATTAGGAGATCAATTATTAAATGATAAAAATCAGATTTTAATTCAAATTCTATACTATGTTGTTCATAATGGGCAATTATTAGCTGATAAAACAATTAAAATCTTAGTTAAATTCTTATGTATAAATGAGATCTATGCAAAATATGCAATACAAATATTTAAATTATTAACAAGTCGTAATGAAATTCGACTCGATAATAGAATATATGAAAAGTTTGAAAATTTATTAAAAAATCAAAATGATTATGATATACAATTAAATGTTATTGAAACATTAGCATATTCTCTACAAAATATACCAATTCATGATGAATTGCCCAATAATCGAATTGTGAAATTAATCGAAGATTATTTTCAAAGTGATACAACGAAGGAAATTAAATATTTTACCTGTGTAGCATTAAATTCTCTTATCGAACATGGAAAAAATCTATCAAATTTATCATTAGATCTGTTAAAACTTTATGCACAAGATGATGATTCAACGTGTAGTAAGGTGAATGTAAGAAATGTATCAATTACTGCGCTGAAAACTTACATCAATATGTGTAAAACAACACATAGAAGTACTTTAAATATTAATGAAATCGAAACAATACTTAATCAGGAAAGACTTGGTGAAATAATTCTTGAAAATTTAAATTCAAACGTTTGTTGCCAAGCCGGAAATGAATTATTATCGATCGTGGATGATGGTCAAAAATCGTTATCAACATTCAATATGAAAGTTCTAGAATCATGTTTAACATCCGATGATCCGTCAATTGAATTAAAACTCGTTATTATTAAAATATTCGAACGTGTTTCAGCCTTTTTACAACCATTACAAATTAACTCAATTATTAACTTAATCAATAATCCATCGTTAACTAAAGCTGTCATAAATGTGTTTCAAAGATTGATTCTGTTCAAAAAAAGTTTTCCAATTGAAACATTTCGTATTTTAATTAACTTTGCATCTGAATACACAGATCAAAGTTTAAAAGATAGCGTTATTGATGGTTTAGAAGCAATAACTAGATATGCAACAATCCCATCCGATGCATTAACATTAGTCCGATTCGAAACGTTATCGAAAAAATTACGAAACCCGAAGTTGAATATTACGGGAAAAAAAGAAATTGTCGATCAATGCATCGAATATGTACTAGATGGTTACAAATTATCCACAAATACAATGGAATCATTTGAATACATTTTAAAGAATCCATTAGAAAGTGTTGATATTGGTGAAACAATATTATACATCATTGAATTAGCAGTTCAAAATGGTCAAAAAATGTCATCACAATTAATTGATGCATTGAGTTATTCGATAAAACAAGGTCAATTAAATAAAAATCGTTTAATTGGAATAATGAAAATAATTTCGAATAGTAATCAAGACTTAATTACACAAGAAATATTTGCAAATTCAGAACAAGATTTACTCGAAAATTTAACTGATTCTTATTCAATTTTTATTAAAGGAACGCAAAATGGTTGTAAATTGACAAAAAACACAATCGAACATTTGGCAACAATTTTAGAAACTAAAGATAAAACGAATGTTAATGAACGATTAAATATGATACAAATATTTAAAAATTTAGCAGCAAATACAGAAACATTTGACGAAAAAACAATTCGATGCTTAGAAAATAGATTAAATGATAACGACGTAACAATTCAAAAGTTAATACTCAATACGCTGAAATATTTACCGAATTATAAACCATCGCCTGTACTTTTTCAATATTTGAAAAATGTCTTAGAAGAACTTCCAACAAAATTACACATCGAAATTATTTTAGAGAAATGCTTAACTTTACGAATTCAAGATGCGTTACATATCATACACATGTTGTTAATTTCAGAATATGTACATGAAGATATACATGATAAACCAGTTCATTTAATATGTCGGGATATATTATGCTCAGATTTATTATTTCGTATTTATGAACACGACAAATACGACGAAGTAACTCAATTTAAATTTTATTCAAATTTAAATGAATTGGAAGACTATTTTCGATTTCCATCACATTGCTTAGAACGTGATGAAATATTGATATTTTTAATTGAAAATCATTCAAATTTTACTCTAAATGATATTAATGAAATTTTATTAATGATTAAAACAAATACGAGAGCATTACATTTGATACGTGCTCGACCAGATGATTGGTTGAAACAATTAAGAATAAATTGGTTATTTACAATTATGGATACATACCAACATATTAAACTAAATGAAAATGTCATTTTCACCGATGATGATGCAGAAAAAATCGTTGATTTATTAATGATCAAACTTAATTTTGGTTTGTCTTTTAGCGAAAATTTTCTTCTACGTCTATCTAATATCAATGATGCCAATGAATTAATCGAATCTTTACAATTTTTATATCATAAAAATATTCATAAAGAACTTGATTTATCTGAATATTTTACAAAAAAACATGAAAATACAGTCGAAGTTAAGGATTTATATTTATGGGCACTTGATCTTGAATGTGATTTAATAAAGAAAAAGTTTACAAATTTATGTAAATCACGAAATTTAAATGAACCAAGTTTATTCGAAAATATTCAATCAATTATTATATTCGCATATTTAAATAAATGGTCATTAGAAATATTTGAAAAATTATTTGAAATGTTAAATACTAAGCAGGATGAACCATTTTCGGTAATTATTGATAATTTTTTAAATACATTAACTATTATCAATAATTACGAAATCAAAAGTACAATTTTAAATAAATATGGTAATAATGCTGAATCAATATTTAAATTAAAGAAGTCAAATGAATGGCCATGCGCTATGCACAAATTTGCCGTATCTGTATCGTTCGATCAAGATGAACGGGAAAAGAGCTTAAGAGATTTAATTGAAGAAATCAACAAGTATGTACTTCACTAAGGAAATTTTCTTTTACTAAATAATAGAGAAGTTCATACTGAGCCTAGGACTTCTCTCGAATTCATGGTCAACATTTTGAGTATGTTTTGTTTTGCTAAAATCATTTTTCTTTGATGAAAACGTGATAGAGTCGGAACTCATCAGCAAGCATTCAGTAAATTGTCAGCATCGGTTAAGGTTCATTTGCAGTAAATGGAGAGCCGAGGTCGATCGGCATTAGGCCAATTGACGAATGAATCTGCAGATAAGCTCCTGTTAACCAGATGATAGTTCTATTGAACTGGTGTTTTATCAGTATATTTTCTACGAAAACTGAGATATACTCTTCTGTTTTTAGGGGCAATGATATAAAAGATAATCCGAAATTAAAAGGTGTAATTGAAAGTCTTGAACAGAAATATCGAAATATAATGTTAGCGTATAATCGTGATTCTAAATTATGTTCAATTGGCAAACCGATTAACCATTGGGATGAAAATGATGTCAAAAAGTGGTCGGCCTATTACAAGACCAACGATTCAAATCGAAATTCTGAAAAATTAGCCGACGAAATTATATGCGTTGTCAAGCGTGCCATCTATTTACATAATAAAAAGCAACAATTTGAACCACGAACTATCCAAATATTATCCTTATTATTAATGTTAGATGCGTCAGATAATAATCTAGCACGTTTGGCACAAATAAAAACAGGTGAAGGTAAGAGTGTGATAATTGCAATGTTTGCAGCCATAAAAGCATTAAATGGTCATAAGGTTGATATTGTAACAACATCACCATTACTTGCCAAACGTGATGCTGAAAATAAGCTACCATTTTATGAAATGTTAAATTTAACTGCTGGAGAAAATAGTGGCACTTCAAATGTAAAATCATGCTATAAAAATGATATTGTCTATGGTCATGTTAATGATTATCAGTTTGATGTATTAAGAGATGAATATAGTTTATTAGGTACGCGTTGTAAACGTGAATTTGATATTGCTATTGTTGATGAAGTTGATAGTATGCTTATTGATGAAAATTCGAAAATATGTCGTTTATCAGGTAAAGTTCCAGCTATCGATGAATTAAAAATTTTATTGACATTAATTTGGCAAGAATTAAATCGTTTACACGAAAAGTTTGTTCGTATTAATGATAAATTATATTGTGTTACTGCACCTTTTAAATTGAATAGTGATGGAAAATTAATATTATTGAAACCGAAACCAACCGATCCGAATGCGACGACTATAGACAATGGTATTGATGATGATTCGATAGAAGCGGACAACGGTGCGAGTGTCAGTACTACAGATAATCAAAATTTTATTGAAAATGAGAATGCCGACATTGATAGTAATGATTTGATAGAAGTTGAAAATCCATTTGAATTTGCCGAAAGTCATATAAGAAATTATGTCGAAAATCATTTATTAAAAGCAAATGAGAACAACCAATGTTTATTAAATATACCAAAACATTTAACAACATTTGTAAAACAACAACTTAATAAATGGATATTAAATGCATGGCAAGCTAAATTTATGTATCGCGAAAATATTGACTATTTAATTACAAATGGTAAAGATGGTATTCAATGTGTTGTACCAATTGATTATCGAAATACGGGTATTATACAAACAAATACATCGTGGCCGGATGGTTTACATCAATTTTTACAGGTTAAACACAAATTAAGAATCAGTGCTGAAAGTTTAACAACAAATTTCCTATCCAATGTTGGTTACTTCAGTCGTTATAATAAAAATTTATTTGGTCTCACAGGAACGCTCGGCTCAAAAGATGCTCAAGAATTAATTCGATATATCTATAATGTTGATTTTGTTATTATACCATCATACAAATATACACAATTTAAAGCATTTCCGGATAAATTAACTCGATCTGAACAAGAATGGTTGAATGAATGTACAAAATCAATCTATCATGAAGCTAAAATAAATCAACGTGCTGTTTTGGTGATTTGTGAAACGAAATCAGACACAACAAAAATCTATGAAAAATTAATTGAAAAAGACAGAGAAATAAAAAAACAAATCAAATTATATACACGCAGTGATAATGATGAACAAAATGCAATTGATAATGAATTAGATTGTGGTCAAATCATAGTTGCAACGAATCTTGCTGGTAGAGGTACAGATATTGGTACAACGCATAAAGTGGAAGAAAATGGTGGTCTTCATGTATTAGTTACATTTTTGCCTTTAAATACACGTGTTGAACATCAAGCATTTGGTCGTACATCTCGACAAGGTAAACGTGGTACAGCACAATTGATCGTACTTGAATCTTCTGATAGTAAAATAAAGAAGAATAATATGGTAGAATTAAAACAAGATCGAGATGAACAAGAAAAACACGCTATTTCAATAGCAAAAAACATTGAATTGAAACGTATTGAAATGCGAGATCGATTATTTAGAAAATATTGTGATTTACGACAAGAATTACGTGAACAAGAAAATGATACATATAAACTAGATTGTATCGAAGAAATGTGGGGATTTTGGTTGAAAACGACATTTTCAAATGAAGATGAATCTGATAATAATAATCCAAATGATGCATTATTGAAAGGAAAATTTGAAGAATTTCGTTCAAAAGTTATTTCAAATTATTGTTCCAATGCTATTTTTGAAAATCCATTCTATTTAATATTAAAAGCAAATGAATATATATTTGAAAAGAAAAATTATGATCAAGCAATTGATTTTCTTCAGATAGCTATCGAATCCGATCCAATATTTACTATCAATGCACGTTATAATCTAGCATATGCATTAATTAAACAAAAGAATGAGAATAAAACAAAAGCAAAAGATGAATTAGAACATGCTTTAAAGATTATTGACGAAATTTTAATACCACAACAAGAGATCATGTTGATTTCGTTTCGAATTTGTGATGGTGATAATAATGATATTGCGAATACAAATCAAACAACCAATGACAATACAAATACGAAAAGTGATATTGAAGAACAAACAATGAATCGAATGAATATTTTATGTTTATTTAAAAGTCAAATTGAACAAGCAAAATCAATTATTGAAGATGCAGAAAGCAAGGATCTTGATGTTCGTGTCGACTATAAAAAATTGGACGATTTTTTTAGTGATACGAATAAGCCGACATTGGATATAAAAGATTTTAAAGAAGGCGGTTTGTTAGGATTTTTTCAACTAACTCAAAAAGAACCAACACCATGGCTAAGTATCATTGCCGTTGGTTTACTGGGTATCGCACAAGCGGTTGCTGGTGCAGCTTTGATTGCATTTACTGGTGGTGCTGCAGCAACAATTGGTGCAATGCTATTAAGTGAAGGCATTGGTGATATGATAACTGCAATTAAAAGTGCTATTACTGGTGAATTTAATTGGACAGACTATGCAATACAAAAAGCAATAAGTGTTGCCATTACTATTGCTACATGTGGTATGGGAGCATTGAAAGAAACAGGTAAAGCAATCCAATCTGGTGTTACAGCTGGTGCGGCTGTAGTAACAGGCAAAACGGCTAGTGTCGTCGGTACACAAGTAGTTGGACAATTTACAAAGGAAGGTTGGAAACTTGTTGGTAAACAAATTGGTATGGCATTTGTAAAGGCGGGCGCTAAAGAACTGATTAAAACCGTATTAGATAAAACAATTTTAACTCAATTAAGCGAAAAAATCAATCAGGAAATATCTGAATATATTGAAGGACGAGTAAACAATGAAATTAATGATAATCAATTAATAACATCTTTAATTACTGTCGATGTTAGTTTAAAACAAACAACCTACCAAAATGAAATTGAACTATTAACTAGCAAAATATTAAATCCTCAAAGTAACCGATTCGTTAATGCAGCTATTGCAATTGCCAAAGGTATTTTAGCTCAATTAACACAAGGTGTTAGTGCAACTGTATTGAAGATTTTCACAGCAGGAAAATGTCTTACAGAATTGGCAACATTTTTAGACGACTTTCTTAAAGAATTTCGACGTGATTTAAATAAATTACAGGACAAATTGAAAATTGATCATTTACTTCATACAACAAATCCGAATAATATCGATGTTAAAACAGCGAAAGAAATGAAAGAACATTTGAAACGACAAAACTATATTGAACGTGATGATATTAAAATAATTAAACAACTGGATCAATCCGTATTTGTATTAGAAAAGCATAAACAACATGAAAATCATGTTGTTCAAGTTTGTAACAATATTTATACTGAAAC